GGGCCTATTTTATGTCAGTTATGTGCTATAAATATTGAACAGCAATAATGAGTTTATGCATTTACCTTAATTACCTGAGTTGATTAAATTATCAGTATAAAACAAAACACATCATTATATTCTTCCAAATCCTAGTTCATATAATTTAAGGGTAATACAGGATTGTTAAAAGCAAATAAATGATCATGTCAAACAACTGGGTTGGAATCTGAACTCTTCTATTTACTAGCTGTGTGACCTGGGACATGTTACTTAACTTCTGTGTGCCTCAGTTTCATAAGCTGTAAAATAGGGATGATAATAATACATATCTTGGAAATAATGTATGAGATAGTTCTTATAATGTGCTTATCTTATTAGTGTAGTGCTTGAGATATATACCAAATGCCCAATAAATGTTCTATTATTATACTAAATCACATGTGACTTTAAATACATGAACCTATAACTAGCTAGCTCTACCTTCATGTGATGTGTCTGCTACTGTTAATTTCCTGTCTCTGCAATGCAGTTTTTGAGTTTTATTTCTAATAATATAAGTATAAAATACTTGGCATCCTGTAGTCTAGTAACGCCAGTTGTCTGACATTTGGCAAATTGAAAGTAATTCAGAAAATCCTAATGGTCTAGAACCTATTTGGCTAGCAGATTTGTTATGATTAGTTTCATAGTACATTGGTGATGAGATTTATTAATTTGGAAATTCCTCAAGACATGGAATAAAAGGAGAAAAGCCTAAAAGTAAATTATTCTGGCATCAAGCTAATGATTATACAACAAAATTTGTTGAATTTGCTTGGTCCAACAGTCACTACATTGCTACAGAAGCAATAATCTACAGAATATCCTGAATAATTTATGTCAGGGGAAAAAAAAACCCAACACCTATGAGCAGAAACCCAGATATTTAAGAGAGCATCAAAGATCCCTATGATTCTCAGATCTCCTGCTGCCTTAATTTCAGCTACTATTCTACACTGGGATGTTGATATTACTGAAGATAAGCCTGGTGTCCTAGCTCTGGGAGCTAAAGATGCTCTCAGGTTAAATATCTGATTAGTAGCATGGCTATAGAGTGGAAAGTAATTTTAAGTGAACATTTAAAAAACATTTTTACCAACACAGTAATTTATTTAAATTTAATTCAGTGAAAAATTTTTATTAAGGTTATATCAGTCTATTAATAAATGAAGAGTTATGCTTTTTGAAATGTCACACTCTAATGGTGTAGGGAAGTGAAAGATTACTCATCTTTTTTAAATGGGCTTTTTGGGGCGCCTGAGTGGCTCAGTTGTTAAGCGTCTGCCTTTGGCTTAGGTCATGGTCCCAGGGTCCTGGGATTGAGCCCCACATCGGGCTCCCTGCTCGGTGGGAAGCCTGCTTCTCCCCCCGTACTTCCCCTGCTTGTGTTCCTTCTCTTGTTGTGTCTCTTTCTGTCAAATAAATAAAATCTTTAAAAAAATAAAATAAAATGGGCTTTTTGGGTGCCTGGGTGGCTCAGTCAGTTAAGTGTCTGCCCTCGCCTCAGGTCATGATCCTGCAGTCCCAGGATCGAGTCCCACATCGGGCTCCCTGCAAAGTGGGGAGTCTGCTTCTCCCTCTGCCCTTCACCCTGCTCGTGCTCTCTCTCTCTCTTGATCTCTCAGATAAATAAAATCTTTAAAAAAAATAAAAAATAAATAAAATGGGCTTTTTTTTGGTTTTGTTTTAACCCATTGGTTCCTGGTTCCTGATTGGGTCAAGGAAGAACTTTAGGGAGGTGAGTAAAAGAATGGCCTAGCAGCCTTGATGCAGGGTTTACCTGTTCCTTTAATGTTTGGCAAATGTAATGGAATATATTTATTTTAGACCATTTTCCCCCCACATGTTTCTCAAATTGTGCTTCATGCCTTCTTTCTTTAAGAAGATTTAAAGTTTCATTTTTATTTTAATTGTCCTTAAAATCTATATAAGCACGATCAAGGTATTCTTGATCAAGGTATTAAATCAGATACCAAAGAGTGGTAAGGGGTGAGAATATTAGTAGTTTTTTTTAAACTGTAAAAGGAAAGAAGTTATGCTTCACTAATACTCATTATATTTATTTAAAGTAGCAAATACATATGACGTACAAATTAGTATATATATTTAGGTATGTCTTCGTATTTTTTTAACTAACAGGAGTGCGTGATTTAAAATATGTGGAGGGAGGCCTGGGTAGCTCAGTTGGTTAAGTGTCTGACTCTTGTTTTTGGCTCAGGTCATGATTTCAGGGTTGTGAAATTGAACCCTTGGGTTCAGCACTGGGCGGAGCCTGCTTAAGATATTATCTCTCCCTCTGCCCCTCCCCTCCCCGCTTGTATGCTCTCTCTCTAAAAAAATAAAAATAAAATATGTGGAAACTCATATAAACAACCGACATATTGTTTGGATTCAAACCCAGTTTGAACTTTATACAATTTCTGTGCTCACTTTTTCTTTTGGTTTTTTGTTGAGAGAAGGCCATATTGCCATATGCTTTGTGGTGTGATATAGGTTTTGCAGGGCCTTGAATAGAGTGTGAGAGTTGAGTCATCACACATGGTAGTATAAGATTGCCATACTGTAAGAATATCATATTCTTGTATCAATTGGATATATTTGAGGGATTTTGTCTTAATTTTAATAAGATACAAAGCAAGTTTCTGTCATTATTTATAGGAATGTAGTAGTATGTCTTCAGTGTAGATTTATTTTCTTTTGTCAGTGATTGATTTAATACCCACTCGGTAAAGACTTAAATAACTGCTGGGATGCTAACTGGATATTCAAGTGAAAAAGACACTTTAAAGAGTCAACAAGTTAGATCTCATAATAACTGATGTTCGAAGAATATTTATTGGCAAAGTCTTAAATATAAGATCTGATTCCTGAACAATTAAGTAACCTTTGAAATCATCTGTTTCCAGTCCTGTTTTTCTAATTGATTATCCACAAATGAAATGATTTTTTAAAATGTTATGTTAACCAAGGGCTATAGTACTTATATGGAGGCTCAGAATTATCTGCAGGAAAAATATTGATTGAATTTATGATTTTTTAAAGATTTATTTATTTATTTTAGAGACAGAGAGGAGAGAGAAAGCAGGGGGAGGGGCAGGGGGAGAGGAAGAGAGAAAAATCCTAAGCAGACTCCCCACTGAGCACGGAGCCAGGAGGGAGCCAGAATGATGTGGGGCTTGATCCCACGACCCTAAGATCATGACTTGAGCTGAAACCAAGAGTCGGATGTTTATCTGAGCCACCCAGGCACCCCAAATTTATAATTTTAAGCTGAAATTACTATTTCTTTATGACATTGACATTGTATAGATATTGAATGATCACTTAATTTCATAGATTAAAATTTATAACTGTTAAATGGCCTGAAGGAATACTCTTATATTGAGATTTAGAGATTAGTTCAATCTTATTTAATAGTGGCTTATAACAAAAAAGGTGATTGATAATAACTTAATGTAAGTTAGTCATCTTAAGTTATGAAGAAAGAAAAGATATATTTTCCATTTTAAGAGGAATAACTTTCACCATTCTGTGAGCATGAATCAGTAACAGCTGACGATCTGATCTTTGAATGCGGCAGAGTTGGAACCCTTTCAAAATAGAAATCTAGCCAATTTTCAAGAAAAATCACAATGTTTCAGTTTTGAACTTTAATGTAGTTGGAACATATGCAGCAGAACACTTTCTTCTTGCTATCTCCTACCAAACTAATTATGTATACCACATTAATTTTTCCCTTATGTTTGGGAAGCTCAAGTATATGGTAGAATTGCCTGATTCATGTTCACCACTTTTAATGGTAAGATCAAGATTAAAAGTATTTAAGATAAATTTTATAATTTTCTCTCAAAGAAAATATATGCAAAAATGAAAATGTTTCATTCACTCAACAAGATATTTATTGAACACTTACTATATGCCAGGCTCTTTTACTAAGCCCGAGTGTGAGTGATACAGTGGTGAACAGGGTAGAGAAAGCCCCTGTCCTCAGAGAGCTTATATTCCACTAGGGGTGGTGGTAGGAGATGATGGGGATTTCAAATTCATAAATGAACTGTAGAAAATAAAACACGTAATGAGAATGGAGTAGCTCAACTGAGATTGGGATGATAGGAAGATTTGGGAGAAGTCTAAATTTATTTGGTGAGTAGCCCCTAAAGTGGGAAAGGCTTGGCATATTCGGGAAACAGAAAGGCCCGTTGTGGAAGGAGCACAGTGAATGTGGATGGTAGGAGCTGCAGTTAGAGAGGTAGACAGAAGCCACATTGAGTAAGCCTTTTAGACCATGAAAGGGGTTTCAGTTTTCCCTTAATTATAATAGGGAGTCTTTGGAGGATTTTAAGTGAGAAAGTTTAATGATTTGACTTATTTCAGAAAGATCACCCTGGTAGTTATAAGGAAAATACCTGTAAGAGGGCAGGAGTGGAAGCAGGAAGCCAGGGAGGGAGCTATTTCAGTATCTAGTCTCTTAGGGAGGTGGAGTGCAGCCAGTGAAGAGTGACTGAGCTGGGGGTGTGTTCCTGTGGCACCCTGACTGCACGTGCATGTGTTCATATTTAAGCACTTGGGATTCTGAAAGTTAATTTCTTTGCAATATCATAGTTTAATATGGACTCTGTAAGTCTTAAGAATGTCAAATATTGCTAAAATTAAAAAAAAAATGAGGAAGACAGTGTTAGCTCCTTCAACTTCCCTTTGTTCTATGGCATAAAATACACTATACTGGGAAAATTTTAAGTTAGTAACTTCAAGTTCTGTGGATAAATTCATGCCAGATGGCTCTAATTTCTTTGCTTTAAAGCTTATACTACATCAGGATATGAAAACAAAAAGCTCTTTTTAAATATGTACTCAATAATTATTTTAAGTTATTTTTAATGAAAAGAATGAACATAATTGCCTCATGATAAAGATAAAATGTGTCTGCTCTAACTTACTGGTTTAAGTAGCATATTTACTGGAATTTTTTTTTTTTCTAGTCACATTGTTCTGATGCTTGCAGACGATATGGCATGCAACCCTAGAAATCCCAAACCAGCTACGGTGTTTAGTCACAAGAATATGGAACTAAATGTATATGGAGATGATGTGGAAGTAGATTATAGAAGTTATGAGGTAACAGTGTTTGATTTAGCAACATTTTTGAAATGTAGTTACCATTACTTTTTTTTAATCATTACTTTTAAACTCTAAAATAGTGGTAGAATAAAGTCTTATTTTTATTTCTTTGGACTTTGTACATAATTGTCACTGAAGCCTTGAATATAATTCTGTCTCGAGTTCATATTAAGGAAACAATACATGAGTAAAACTAACACGGCATGAACATTTCATATACGTATCTAGGATAGGACAACTTTATCTTGGCTTTTATATTAGAGTATTTTAGTGAGTTTTCATATGTATCAACTTTTTTTTTTAACAGTAAATGCATTGTTTGTTTTTCGTATTTGACCTAAAATTTCAAGTTTTGTATATTTAGTATATATATTGAGGAAAAATTAAAATGATTAACAATAAACTCACCCATATTTCCACTACTTAGAGGTAATCACTTTTGATATGCTTCCAATGTTTTTATGCATATGATTAAAAATTAAAATGTAAATTTGAAAAATGGGATTATACTGTATTTTCCCCTTTGAAACTTCATTTTAAATTTCATAGGTAGGGAAGATGTTTAAAATTTGAAATCTTCCTTGGTGAAGTCTTCCTCAATAATCCTTCCCCTTTTACCAAGCCTACCAAAAGTAAGACAATTTTATGTGTTCCCAGACCTGTTCTGAAGCAATTTTAAAATCTTATCTATCTCCTCCCAGCCTGTAAGCTCCTTAAGGACGTGACCTATGTCTTATGTGTCTTATACCTAGCAAGTACCTAGCTTTTGAAGGCACTCAGAAATGTTTGTTCAGTAATTAAATGTGTATGAATGTTGGACTTTCTACTTGTTGATTTAGTCATCATAAAATATAAACCAAAAAGAAGTCCTATTAAAACATTTAGCATTTTGCTGTTTTCTGGGAAAAATATAAACCGAACATAATGCACACGTGCACAGAAACACATACATACACATATAATTTATATACTCATGATCTAGGGAAAAGTTGAACAAGAAAGCTAGATAAATTTTCTGCTTTTAAATTTAGATCTGGGTAATATGACTTTAAATATGCTTTCGAAGAATCCTAGAGGTCCACAAATTCCAGGTTGGGAAATCTGAATTAAAGTGTGATGAATTTTTTACATGTTGAAGATAACCCTAGCAAAATTTAAGTAACATAATACATTATGTTACTTAATGTACATAATACATTAAAAAAATCAAAGATACATGATTTGGGGATTATTTATGGATGGAACTATCCTTATGGTTTTATTTTTATGATTCATTATGGACCTATCTTTCAAGGTTTATCTAGAATTCACTAGGTAGTTGTACCAATCAACTGCAATAGTTATAATGTTGCTGAATTTATTTGCAAGTTTCTTTATTTTGTATTTTCCCAAAGAATTACCTATGAAGACATTAATCATTTTTAAATTTTGGGCAATATTTTGCATAGCATTTGAAGTTTTAAATTTAATTAACTGATTTTTCCCCAGGATAGTTTCGTTAGCTGTTAGTATTTAATGGAAGCAAGTTAACTTTGAGGTATATCTTTAAATAAATATATTTAAATTGAGTTATATTTCGCTTTATGCTTTGTTTTCAGTTTATGCTGAGTAACATATAGAGAAAGAAGAAGGAATGCTTTTGAAAATAAAAAAAAAATTATTACGTTTCCCCTGGTTCTGTTTCATCCCCTGATTTCTTCTTTTTTTTTTCAGGTAACTGTGGAGAATTTTTTACGGGTATTAACTGGCAGGATCCCACCTAGTACTCCTCGTTCAAAACGTCTTCTTTCTGATGATAGAAGCAATATTCTTATTTATATGACAGGTAATTTGAGAATTTAGATATTTAGAAATAGAATATATTGTGACTCTCCTCAAGAAGAAATCTTCATGGAAAGAAATTTAAACACCTTAAATGAATTTTGGTTAAATAATTTGTTTTGTAGTTCTCTTTTCTCATATGACAATTTGAAATGATATTTGGAGACAGTATAACATTTTATACTGTCCCTCAGTGTATTATCTCTATTTTTTTTTTACTATTACCCTAGTAAAGCTTATTACCTTTTATTCAGTATCTCTGCTATAGCCTTGTTGCCTTTGCTTTTGTCTCCTGTTAATTATCCTACTAAAGTAGTTAATAAAAATTGCAAATCTGTCCTTGATTTCCGTAAAACTTTACAATGGTTTCCGGTTGATGGAGTCTCATATTTTAGTGTGTATAAAGATTATTTGAATGCAGATACTCAGGTCTTTAAAATTCTGATTTAGTTTTGGTTCAGGGTGGGGCTTATGAAACTGCATTTTTCTTTTTTTAAGGTTTTATTTATTTTTTGACAGAGAGCAAGAGAGGAAACATAAGCAGGGGGAGTGGGAGAGGGAGAAACAGGCTTCCCACTGAGCAGGGAGCCCGATGCAGGGCTTGATCCCAGGACCCTGGGAACATGGCCCTGAGCTAAGGCAGACACTTAACGACTGAGCCACCCAGGTGCCTGAAACTGCATTTTATTTTTTCCTTTCCTTTTTTTTAAAGATTTTATTTATTCATTTGAGAGAGAGAGAGACAGACAGAGAAAGCATGATAAGGGGAGAGAGGCAGAGGCAGAGGGAAACGCAGACTCCCTGCTGATCTGGGAGCCCGACATGGGGCTTGATCCTAGGACCCTGGGATCACGACCTGAGCTGAAGGCAGGTGCTTAACCATCTGAGCCACCCAGGCGCCCCCTGAAACTGCATTTTTACTATGTTCCCCACATCGAAGCTATAATAGTCTTTTGTCTATACTTTGGGGAATATTGGAGATAAAGCCTTCATAATATAGTTTAGTTTTATTATTTATCTAGTTATATATATAATAATATATACTATTATTTAGTGATATTATTTGTTTCATTTTAGTTCTTGCACTTCCTCTAATTTTCTCCTAGGACTGTTTCTGTCCTCTAAACATTTACTAAAGCTATTGCCTTTGTTTATTGATGTCTTCTCAGTTCACTTTGTCTACCTGATTATTCCTTCTCTTTTCAGTCTTAGCTCAGGAGTCACTTCCTTTGGTGATTTTCCTCAGTAAGTCTAGGTTGATCTATGTCTCCAATTGCCTGGGACAGTTGTCGTTTACACCTGTTATCCTAATGTAATTATTATTATTATTTTTTTTTAGAATAACAAAAAATATTTTACTAAAACATAGATTTACAGAAGTTTCCAGACAAGCCATACAAAATGGTCACAAGCTTTTTCTTGAAGGAAGGAAGGATTCTACACTTGACAGCAAGTCACAATGGTATTAGTGAGGGCTGTGATGTTTGTTTAATGTTCCCATTTTGGTTCAAACAATCAAGCTTGTCCATCTACAGCGTCTAAATAAAGTTAGACTTGGCTAGAGAGCATATTCTAAAGAACTGGTTAGCTGCTTTTAACCAATGCAATTAGATCACCATAAAAGGGGGGAAAGGAGCCCAAAAAATTAAAATAAAACTACCTCTCCCCCTCAAAAAAAGTAATAAAGAAAAACACCCACACCCCTGCAGCTAACCCTGACAACTACCTTCATTCACAGTGCTTTATACTCAAACCATGATGGGGAAATGAATAAAAGCAGAGAAGGGCCACTGCTTTTAAACGTTTCACAACAATCCGAATGGTACTTCTAGCCTCTGCTCATGCTTTACAACAGTGAATCAGGACAAGACATAGGTTTGCTAATGTGCATTTAATCACCAAAGGACTGAAGATGTCTGGGCTTTTATTCTGTAATGTTTCTAAGACTGTGTCCATTAAATGCAAACAAAAAAGGAAGAAGTCTTGGCAGAACAGGAGAACAGGAGAACTTGATGATCAGATCGATTTTAAATATTATTCATGGCATATAGCCTAGTCCATGCTCTAGCTGTTTCTATGGCTTGGGCTTCGTTGGTCTTCCACTGCTCCGCTACATCATTTGCTAATGGATCATCTGGATTGGGAGCACTTAACAAAGCCTGGATCGATAGCAGAACTGTGCGGATCTGCAGTGCTGGGGACCACTTAGCTTTCAAAATATCTAAACATATTCTTCCCAACTTGTCTACATTAGGATGATAAATTTTGGTCATGAAACGTACTTTAGGGGCTGCCATCGGGTATTCTTCTGGTAGGAATAGTTCAAGCTTAAAAGTCCCTCCCTCAAAGGGGGAATCCTGGGGGCCAGCATTGACCACATGAAAATAACGGGCGTTGCTCTCATCTGGTTCTGCTTTAATGCCAGGAACTGGTTCTGCCAGCAAACGCTGGGTTTCCTTGATAATCCTGCAGGGCAGCCCGGCCATCTTGTCAGATCCCGAGTTCGGCCTCTGGTCTCGACTCCGGCTCTGCTCGCCTCACACACGAGTGGAAGTCCAGGGCTCCACTTCCGGGGGACCTCCTAATGTAATTATTAATATTGCTTCCTTTTTCCCTCAGAAGTGTCCTGGTATATATTTTGTAATGCCCAGAGACACTTCTTATGTCCTTGGCTGGTGTAGGCTCTCCTCTTTGCACTCCCATGTTAATCTGTAGTTTCTGTATGAGCATTTAACTTAACTACTTTCTTGTTTGGATATTTATTGCCTTCATTAGATTTTGAATTCCAAGATGTCATTGATAATGGGGTTTTCACCTTTTTATTTCTAGTGCTCTGTTTTATGGTGGTATTCAGTACATATGAATGTGGATCAAACAATATTTAAAAATGTCTTTGGAGGGCATTCCATTTAACCGATGATAAAACATTTGCAGAATGGTTCTTAGATGTCACACAGCAGGATGGTTACTGACTTCTACTTGGTGGTTTACTTTTCTTTGTCTATCATGGTGCATTTACTTACAGCTTTTCAAATTCAATTAATTTAAAAACTTTATAAATTAACAGAGCTAAGTCAGGAAAATTTTCATTTTAGTTTTTCTGACAGTTATAAGAAATTTTCAAGCATTTGTGGCAAATATTATGAAGTACAGTCTTATAGTTTAGCTTTATCTGATATACTAAACTAAAGGTTATACAACTTTTTTTCTAAGTCTTTGGATACTCTTTCAGGATAACTCCAGGTACAGAAGAAATTCCAATAGTTAAAGATAGGATTTGATAAACTGTGGCCCATGGAAGGGTTGCCTGTTTTAGAAATAAAGTTGTATTAGAACCAATTGTATCCACTTGTTTTACATATTTTCTATGGCTGCTTTTACACTACAATGGCAAGGGTCTAGTAGTTGCAGCAGAGACCGTATGGCCCATAAGTCTAAAACATTTACTACCTGGCCCTTTACAGAAAATTTGCCAACCCATGTAAGAGCGTAGGAGGCCTGACAATTATAATAAAATGATAATAGCTAATATTTAATGAGGCTTACTTTACCTCAGGCAATATTGTAAATCAGCGTGTGTATGAATTCATTTCATCCTTACAGCAATCCAAAGATTTAGGTGCTGTGATATATAGTTGTGTGGGTTGTGCACTGCAATAAGTGTTTGGCTACAGGGTTGAGTGGGAGCTGCAATCTAGTATATGTTTACACATAGTAAGCTATGTGCCCTGCCCTAGAGTTCTAATGGGAGGAAGAGAGACATAACTGCTAATCACCTTTGAGCTCACAGAACTGCATACATTCAGAGGGGCCACTGAAATAGACAGATTTTTCTACTTTGATGCCCTGTGGGAAGTACCTTCTAAAAATCCACACAAAGGAGCTTTATAGGCATGCTAATGATGGTGCCAACATATTTCTTACTTCACAGCTAGTGAAACTGAGGCATAGAAAGATTAAGTTATTTACCTAAGTTAACACAGTCTCATTAAGTGGCAAAGCTAGCATTTGAATCCAGACAGAATGGCTCTATCCATGCATTCTAAATGTCACAGTCTTCTGGTCAGCTCTCATGGAACAGTGGTTGATGGTAGTAAAAAGTTATATGTGAGAACAACACTTCCTAGTAGTATAGCATTCCAAGTATACACTGTGAATAGTACTAGCATACTATGGGACCAGCCAGTGTTTGCAACCCCTTTCTCACCAAAATGTTTGCCTGGTATTTGGGAAATTATTTATCTATAGAAACTCACTTCTGACATACTAATGGAGCCAGTGCAAAAATATAAATGTGCTTTTACAGAATGGAATGATAGAAGAACTTGTGAAGATATTGTATCTGCTATTTTTTGCACAGTCTATCATGATTCCATTTTTAATTGGTGTAATAGAAAATTATTTTTTTGTTTTCATAGCCCTTTTCATTTTAGAGTATAAAATAACAGATGATATTAAAATATTGCCATGAATAAGTAAATGTTTATATCTGGATGTATGCAGTTTGCATTTAAAAAAATGCATGTATTTGATCTTTTTGACTCTTCCTACAAGGACATGGTGGAAATGGTTTCTTGAAATTTCAAGATTCTGAAGAAATTACCAACATAGAACTTGCAGATGCTTTTGAGCAAATGTGGCAAAAAAGACGGTAATTAGCAAATGACTACTTTTCATAAGATAAATTAGTACCTAATTTTTCCATGGTTAGTAGATTTGTAGATCCTATTTTATGAGATTTTAACTTACTTTAAGAACTTCTTCTACTCTTTTAGATTTATGTTTGTTATTTCTACTGAACTATTTTTAAAAGAAACCTCAGTGTTATTAAAGAGCATTAAAAAAAGTTAACCTTTTAAGATCATCTCTCTGTTATTTAGCAATGTTTTTGGAGGAAATAAGAGTCCCACCAATCAGGTTCCCCATTATGTAGGGGGATTGTGAACATATATTTATTTTCCAACTTTAGCTTATTGTTACTTTTTGTACATTCACTGACTCTCCACGTGATAGCAATACATTATTTCTTCTTTGGAAAAAGTGCTGAAATTATGATTAATATAATATTTGTAACCTAACTCACATTAAGGATGATATATTGTTAGTAATCCATTGTAAGCACCTCTCTAGTTGAAAGTTGTCATATGAACGTGAATGAATATAAAGCAGCAGAAGTGCTTTTAACTTGATTACCTTCAATAAACACTTATGGGTTACCTTCTAAATACATGGTGCAGGAAGGAATATGATGATTATTCTGCCTTCACAGTGTTTAAAATCTAGTGGAAAAGAGAAACGTGTATACGACTGTTCTACAAATTAAATGTAAATATTGAATTACATGCATAAGCAGAATGAATGGAAGTGTCAAAGGGAAGCTTTTGCTAGGTACTGGTTTTATCTTAATTCACAGTTTACATTTACTGGATGTATACTAGGTGCTAGGCGCTGTTTTGTATATGCTGTCTCATTTAATTTCAACAACAACCCCATGAGATATATACTATTATTATTATTCCTGTTTTCACACATTAGTAAATTGAGGCATAAATAGATTCAGTAACCTGCCAGTCCAGCACTGGGACTCATTCCTAAGTGCTCCAGTCGTAGAGCTCTCTGAACTGTTTTACTGTACTGCCTCTCATAACCTTAGATGTTTCTGATCCTCAGGGGCCTCCACAGATTGTTGTCTGAGAACACATATGTCATATGAATTGTTCCTTTTATCACCTGCTTAGATATTGTGGCCCAAGATTTCTTGCTTTCTTTTCTAGGTACAATGTTAGCTGTTTACCTAGATCCGGTGTCTGAGAGAAACCTTTGAAAAACGTATCTGCTCCCTACTTTAATCAGCTAGGCAGCTCATTCTAAAATACAGAGCCGATCATGTTATTTTCACTTAAAAAAGCCCTGGTTGGCTGCCTCAGACTTACAAGATAAGATCCATACTTCATATGGGATACTACATAGATTGACCCTACCCTACCTTTTTTTTTTTTAAAGATTTTATTTATTTATTTGACAGAGAGAGAGAGAGCACAAGTAGGCAGAGTGGCAGGCAGAGGTAGAGGGAGAAGCAGGCTCTCCGCAGAGCAGGGAGCCCAACGCAGGGCTTGATCCCAGGACCCTGGGATCATGACCTGAGCCGAAGGCAGACGCTTAACCGACCCAGCCACCTGGGCGCCCCTACCCTACCCTACCCTGCCCTACCTTTTTGAAACTAATATCCTCCATTTCCCCAAATTTACCGTAAATCCTAACTACATAGTACTATTCCCCTTTTCTGAAACAATTATACTTTTTCAAATTTAGGTGCCTTAGTAGAGCCTTTTTCCTCTCCTGGAATGTGCTATTCCTTTCTTTGTTAGTTAAAATAACTCACCCCTCATTGCCCAGGCCGAACATCACCTTTCTCTGACATGCCTTTCTTTACAGTTCCCTCTCTTCCTTTCTCAGTGCTCTTAGAGCACTTTGACTTTGTTAGACTCTAAGCTCTATGAAGACAGGGACTGCTGCTGTATCCTCAGCTTAAGATCAGGCATATTATAGGCTCTAATAACTATTTGTAACTCTTCCCACATTCCATTTGGTTAAATGAAGTCTCTCCTCTCTTCCAGTTAGATTTTAAGCTTTTTGAGTATGTTGACTAAGTCATATATGTTTTTTCCTGAATCTGGCTCATTTTCTAGGACAGCCGGGGTGCCAAATAAGTGTTTTTTGAATAGAGTATGCATTTGGATTCTGAATCATGTGGCCAAGATGAGGGAGGGGGAAAGAGTTGGGGCAGCCACTTTGTGGTACAACCTGTTGAGGTAGTTATAGCTTTAATATTTCTAATATCAAATTTGTATTGGGAATTCTGAAAACTCACAAATTTTTAACTAATGAAATGAGTAAGATATGATTTTAACATCTTATGTTTTGCAAGTATTATAAAAATATTAATGTTTGACTAACAGCATGATTCATGTTAAAGATAGTACCACTTTTCTTTCAGCTACAACGAATTACTGTTTATTATTGATACTTGTCAAGGAGCATCCATGTATGAACGATTCTATTCTCCTAACATAATGGCTTTAGCTAGTAGCCAAGTGGGAGAAGATTCACTCTCGGTAGGTGCATATTTCCCATTTGTAAACTGCATCATCTTTGGAATATGTAGCTATTTTGGAAATCACTTATATGCTTTATGAATATATCTTAGACTTTTTAATACCTTAGAAGGAAATATTGATTGCATTTAAAACATTTTCTTATAATGATGCTATTAGACGTATTTCTTTTTTCTGCTTTTAAAAAAATTTTATTAAAGTACAATTGACTACAATATTGTGTTAGTTTCAGGTGTACAACATAATCATTCAATATTTGTATATATTACAAAATAATCACCATAATAAATCTAGTTAACATTTATGACCAGACCAAAAAAAAAATGTCACCATACATAGTTAACAGAATTTTTCTTTCTTGTGATGAGAACTTTTAATGTGAACTTTCTTAGTAATTTTTAAGTATGCAATACAGTATTATTAACTGTAGTCACCATGCTGTACATTTTATCCCATGTCTTATTTATTTTATAACTGAAATTTGTCCCTTTGGCTTCCTTCACCCATTTGGTCTATCCTCTACCTCTCATCTCTGGCAACCACCAATTTGTTCTCTGTATCTATAAGGTTCATTTTTGTTCTTTTCGTTGTTTTTAGATTACACATATAGGTGAGATTATATGGTAATTGTCTTTCTCTGACTTATTTCATTTAGTATAATGCCCTCAAGATCCATCCATGTTGCCACAAATAGCAAGATTTCTTTTCGTTTTCCTTTCTTTCTTTTCTCTCTCTCTCTTTCTTTCTTTCTCTCTCTCTCTCTTTCTTTCTTTCTTTCTCCTTCCTTCCTTCCTTCCTTCCTTCCTTCCTTCCTTCCTCTCTCTCTCTCTTTTTTCTTTAGGGCTGAATAATATGCCATTGTATATGCTTTGTTTTTTCATAGCATCAACCTGATCCTGCAATTGGAGTCCACCTTATGGATAGATACACATTTTATGTCTTGGAATTTTTGGAAGAAATTAATCCAGCTAGCCAAACTAATATGAATGACCTTGTAAGTATTCGCTTGATTTGATTATAGCACATAGGTATGCTTAATGTGATAAGTGAAGTCCTTTACTCCCGGTACTGCCAGGGTACTGTTTCTTATGTTGAATGGTAGCCTTTTAAACTGTTTATGAGTCTCCCTTTATAGTAATCTCTCTCTCTTTACTACAGGAAGCCTAAAGTTTAGCCCAGTTAACTTGTTACTTTCATTCATTTGCTCATGCTCTTTTCTGTACCAGAAATGTACTTTTTTTAGATTCATCTACTGAAATTCTACCTATTCTTTGGGTGTCAGATCAGATCCTCCCTCCTCCAGGAATAGCCCCATAATTCTTCCCTGTTGGAATTTAAGTAAGATAAATAAAGTTTTTCAGAGCTTTATTTCTCTCTTCTACCATTTATCATAGTCTGCCTTTTTTTTGAACTTATTGAGTGTGAGTAATAGGACATTTTTGGAGGAAAAGGACTTTCTCTTACCTATTTTTGTCCACCCTTCAACTTCTAGTACAGTGTTTTTTTGTTTGTTTTAGATTTTATTTATTTATTAGAGAGAGAGAGTGAGTAAGAGAGAAAACACAAGCAGGGGGAGCAGATGCAGAGGGAAAAGCAGGCTCCTCACTGATCAGGGAACCCGATTCAGGGCTCGATTCCAGGACCCTGGGATCATGACCTGAGCTGAAGACAGACGCTTAACCGGCTGAGCCACCCAGGTGTCCTAGTACAGTGTTTTGATGTGGCTTCTTGAATTCAGTTCAATCTTTTTTCCTGACTTTTCTATGCTGATTGTATCTTTAAATAAATCTACTTTCAAGTTGCTATTGAAAGTAGGCATAATAAATAAGCTCGAAACAGCAATTCTAGATTGGATAATTACTGTGCATCTATGACTTTCACTCTTTTTTTCATTAATTTATACCCTGTTCTTTTATTCATAAACATTTTTTGAGCTTTGGCTAAGTGCCAGCCACTGGCTCTATCCTAGTGAAAGAGGCAGACACTGTCTCTACCTTCATGGAGCTTCAAAGTGGAAGGAAGGCTGAGTAGACCGGACTTGGATAGAAACATTTTAGGTAATTTTCTTTTTAATTAAAGAAGTTCTGCAAAATTCTAAAAACCACTGTTATGAGCTGTCATATTTGATAACATAGAACTACTTGCTACATTTTGAAGATACATAATTTGATGCCTGTTAAATCTTTTTTTTTTTAAGATTTTATTTATTTATTTATTTATTTGAGAGAGAGAATGAGAGAGAGAGAGAGCATGAGAGCGGGGAGGGTCAGAGGGAGAAGCAGACTCCCTGCTGAGCAGGGAGCCCTATGTGGGACTCGATCCCGGGACTCCAGGATCATGACTTGAGCCGAAGGCAGTCACTTAACCAACTGAGCCACCCAGGCGCCCGATGCCTGTTAAATCTTAATGTGAACTTGTTATAATGCTACTTTATAAGAAAACTATAGTCACCTACGTTCCAGTTACTTTAGTTTTTAAATTTATTCCCATTTTAAATTATATATTGTATATTTTATTTAATATGTGACACACTGTCAAAAGTTTACAGCATATGCACTTGACACTTCAAATGTCTAATGGATTTTTTAAAAAAATAACTTCTTCCTTTGAAATCATACAGGAAAGACCGAAGAAACTTACGTTTTATTTGTTTATGTGGTTTTTTTCCCCACAATTGCTGTATAGTTTTTAATAAACAGTCCTTACTAATATCTTGTTCCCTAGTTCTGTTTTTTTAATTGAATGATTATTTTAATTGTGTTCAGTAAGGATGACCCATTTCTTTGAAGTTAAATATTCTAGTGATTTGATATATCTTAAGATGTTGTGGAATAATACCTATTCTGTTTATTATGTGTGTATAGGAAAATTCATTGGGTATCAGCTGTATTCAGAGTACAATATTAGGAGCTTTAGGAGCAGCAAAATTAGAAGACATGGTCCTTGGCCCCTTAACAATTTATAGTGTCATTGGTAACAGCTGAAAAGCACATTTATAGAGTATCACCTATTAAATGAAGTCTTTGTATCCTCCAGGTAATGTTCTTTCTTCTGTGAACATATAAGTCTTGCTATGTACCTTTAAGATGCTTTTAATACTGCTCTGTACTTGTTTATATTTGTGACGTTCCCTCGAGGCTTTGAGGTTCTTAAATAAGTAAAAGGACCATGTTTATTTGTAGATTCTCAGTGAATATTTGGAATGAATGAAGGGACATGACAACCATGCACATTTGTATGGTTCCTTTAAATACAGTGGGTTTGGTCTTTAAAATTTTTCTTGAAAGAGGTAGATTTTCAGGTTTGGAAGAAGAGAAGTATAGCATACCCTAGGAAAGTGGAATACCTGCAGAGGCACAGAAGTTGAAATCCTTGTCTTCAATAGTAAGCATATAATCTGGCTAGAGTGTGAAGATTCTGTAAGTGAAGGAGATTATTAAAAATTAATGTAGCTGAGGCTAAGGAAATCAGATTGATAGGATAAAATATCTTGAAGGAAGGAATAACTTCATAGAAAGTGGAAGTATGATCATTTTAGCAGCAGGAAGATAATACTTTTTATCTTGTTCCCAAGCTCATTCACCTATGCTTTTCCTGCTTTCTTCTGTGGTGCCTAAGAAAGCCCACCAAGTTGCTCGCTCATACAGGAATGCCTTCAGTATACATAGGACTTCAATCTTGTCTTTGTGTATTTTGTTTTATCTTTTACTATGTTTCTTCAGCCTTCAGTCTGTATTGTCCTTCCTGTTTGGCATTTTACTTTCTTGTAAAGTAAGTTTGGCATTTTATTTTCCCCACCTTTTTTGCCTTCAGTGCTTCTTAATTTATATTCGATCTCTTCTTTGTATTTCCTTTTATTGTTTTCCTGAACCAGGAAGGTATTGTGTGATATTAGGCCAATTACTTAATCTTTTTGAGCTTTAGTTTGAAGTAGAGATAATAATCTTTATATACCTCAAAGTTATTGGTAGTTTAAATCAGAGTATCTACAAATTGCTTTGCACAGTGCTTGGATCACTATGCTTCATAAATTCTAGCTGCTCTGCCCTTCCCCACCCATCTCCCATCATATTGGTGATTATCTATGCATATTGTTTTGTCTCCATAGGTGGGCAAGTGCTGTGGGCTGTAGGCCTTTACTAGCAGTCCTGTCATGGTTTTCTTCATACATCCTTTGCTTCTGCCAAACTAGGTTATTTGCCTTACACATCTTTGCAGCTGCTCCTTAAGAATGTTACTTTTCATCTGTAATCTCCCTTTTCCTTCAGAATGTAACTTAAATCCCATTCCTTTTTTCTCATCCTCAGGCTATGAAAAGTTTATCCTTTTCTGAAGTAGAACCTGTCACTCTTTTTTTCTACCTTGTTATGTTTATTCATCTCTGACTTGACTTAAAGCCTGAGGATAGGACCATTTTCTGTCAACTTTTGTATCCTCTGTGGAAGATAACAGTATGAAATATATGTAGTAGATATTTTTTCTGCTTTGCTGAATGAATGAGTACATATCTATCCTTGGTAATTCACTAATGTGGAATATTGGGGATATGATTAACACAGACATTATTATGAGATCTGTGTGAGATGAAGTCGTGGTTTTCAGGCTGTATTCTTTGAGCACTAGAGTATCTGGAGGTGCCTTGGATTTATTCTCTTTATGGCTAAACTAAGAAAGATACTGCTCACTGAGATGAATGTAGATGCAGAAAAAAAGCAATTCTTTTCGGAGTGTTACATGTAAGTTCTCGGTAAATTTAAAGTTCAAAATATATTTTGTAGCATATGATGCAAAAAAGTGAATATTTTCCCCCCCGGCCAGCTTCCCTTTTTCTCACCTGCTCTAATGTCTGTATAGCTTTCTTAGAATGTCAAGTACTACTGTAGCAATGAAACTTTAATCTTTAGAATCAGTAGTTTCTTCAGGTTGGGAAAGCTTTGAGAATACATTACAGTCAGGGTGCTAGGTGGGTCAGTCAGTTGAGCATCTAACTCCTGGTTTTGGCTTAGGTCATGATCTTGGGGTCAGGGGATGGAGCATCGTGTTGGGCTCCATGCTTGGCGGGGAGTCACCTTGGGATTCTCTCCCTCTCCCTCTGCCCCTTCCCCTACTCACTCACTCTCTCTCTCTCATAGATAAATAAATCATTAAAAAAATACACTACAGTCTACTATACTGTATTATTGAATTGATAAAAGTTGTATGGATATGTGTGTATTTATTATTGTTATATATATGTTTTTCAGTTTCAGGTATGTCCTAGAAGTCTCTGTGTGTCTACCCCTGGACATCGCACTGATCTTTTTCAGAGGGATCCTAAAAATGTCCTGATAACTGATTTTTTTGGAAGCGTACGGAAAGTGGAAATTACAACAGAGACTATCAGTTTGCAACCAGATTTAGAAAGCATGGAAAGCAGGTATTCATCTTGAATTATTATTTTATTAGAATATTCTAGTCTCATAATTTGTAAATTTTTATGTAACATGATGTTACATAATATTAAGAGATGAAAGTTGTTGTTTGTTAATAAAACTATACATTTCTACCCAATCTTCACTTTGTATAGGCCCTATGCTTTTCAGGTTTATGGGCAAAAGCTATAAATATTAAGGGGAAGCTACGATCATGATTAAGATTATGTTGTAGCTCCAAAATACAGTGTACATAGTAGTGATTTGAGACCTGCTCAAAAGGAACTAAAACTTTGCTTGTAAGTGGCTGAGATCCATACTTTTCATTAGTGGAGGTATGTATAATGGTTCAGAAGACCTTCATGAAAGGGCAGGTGTGCAAATGTTTCAAACATTAATACTCTAATGAGCGTGTATGCTTTCACCTATTGCAGTAGAAGGTGTTACCTGAAGTGATGTTGAATAGGGAAGTTGGCAGCTGGGCATTTAGAGTGTAATAAGGGCCCTAGGAATCTGGCAGATGTAAGGCAGATAAACATAAAAAGGGGAAGCGAGTGCCAAAACTATATAGGTGCCAAATACATATTTTAGACTATAACACAGTGCTTCCATGTTCAGAATTTCTGTGGGTTCCAGGAATCTGATTACTTCTCTGACTGCCATATATTTTGGTTCCTAGAGTCTGGGTGGTTTGTGAGCTGGGGTTCAGTGGTATCTCGGGCTTTTCTCTAGTGTTATATTCTATTAATCTGGAACAATTTATCTGGAGCTATTGTAAATTTGGAGTGACCCTCCCATCAACAGGTGCCACTGTTTCTGCTTTATTTAGGGGGTCTTGGTAATTCATTAGGGAAAGGATGGGAGGTATACACTAGGTTCTCCTTTCTTGGGGTAGATGCTGTGTGAGTGTGTAGTGAGTGTGCATGCATGCACATGTGTAGATTTGTGTGTTTATGTGTGTGAGAGAACACACAAGCAGGAGAGAAGGAGATTGAGAAAAATTGGTTGATTTGGAGTATGTGAATTTTAGAAATGTTTCATTTGTATATTTCCCTGTAAACATTTTTAAAGGCAAAATACTTTGTTAGGATTATATAGTGTCTCAGTTAATAGCCTCTTTCTTGAAATATATAGATGATATATTTTACTAGCATTAAACTTTGTTATTTGTGATTATCTAATGCTATCTATTGGAAACTCATACTCCTAGGAACTTTTCTGGACTGCTAACTGGCAACATAAATTACTCTCAATTTTGAAAATTTCAAAGACTTTTGATTAAGCTTACACATGTTTTAGGAATAAATTTAAAAATTAGCACAAAATGCATCTTTTTTGAAGATTTAAAATTGATATTATTAATCATTTCCTATTCTGGATATTCAAAGCCTTGGATCTTTTCTTTTCCAATTTCCTATAGCTATTAACTTAAAAATATTTTTTAAGACATCAGATGATACTCTACAGCAATATCACTTTTATTTGTTATTTTGTTATATTTTTTAAGATTTTATTTATTTATGTGAGAGAGAGAGAGAGAGACAGCGACAGAACAGCATGAGCAGGGCGGGGAGGAGGCAGAGGGAGAGGGAGAAGCAGACTCCCTGCTGCTGCGTTCCATCCCAGGACCCTGCGATCATGACCTGAGCTGAAGGCAGATGCTTAACCGAGTGAGCCACCCAGGTGCCCCTTATTTGTTGTTTTAAATACTGAATTTCAGATTACCCTTGTGAAATAGCTAAACCATATGTTGATACTTAGCAACTAAAATTGAAATGTGTCTTTTACCAAATTTATTTTGTAATTTTCCTTTGAATTTAAGCCTATGAGATTATAAGATACACCTTCTCTTAACCATCTGAACATTGCATTAATTTACTTTAAAGGCTAGGACCATCTTTATACTTCTTCTGAATTTATTTTCTGTTCTCTCAACTTAACACAGTATTAAATGCAATAAGTATACAATAAAAAGTTGTTTCAGTGGAATCCGAGTTTCATTATATATTCTGGAAGAATGGAATTTTGTCTCATAAATATTTCCGTGTATTAGTTCAAGAGCAAAAATTGTTGGTGCTGAAAATTATCTTAATTTATCTTTAATTGAGGAGAAAATTTTGAGCATTAAAGCCAGACACCAGGCACTGTTGAATTATAGCACCCTCTAGTGTTTATAAATAAATTTTATTTAGAATATTGTGTACAGATGGTTTCATGATGACTGGTATATGTTACCCAATTAATTTAGGAGAATTAAGTTTCCAGCACGCCTCAGGAATTTTTAAATGGATGCTACAAATATTATCTCATTGTACGTAGGTGGTATTTATATGCAAGTAAGAATGGCAATTGGATATTTGTTTAGAGAAAATTATATCCGTGAGAGATCAGATATCACAAAAAATATTTTATTAAGAAAATTATGGGTTAGGATGTATATGTATTTTTTCAGATCTTAAGTTAAAAATGTCAATACAGTCACTTAATAAAAGTGGCAGTTGTGCTTTAAAAAATATTACTGTTTACATATGTTAGGAAAACAAAGGAATTAATTCATTTAGACTATTCATATTTCATATTTTGCATACAAGAGTATATTAGACCAAACTCAGATATGATGGAGAACCTTAGTACATAAAATTGACTAATGTTATGGTATGATATTATTGTTATGTGTCTTCTGAAACAGATATTGAGTAAGGTACAGTCGTGAAGTTAGTAACAATACTTTGTTCCTGCATGTGTCTTAGTAGTTGTGTGATTAATTTGTTTGCAAGAACAGATGGCATAAAGTAAGGATTGATTGCAGTAAGTTTGGCTTATATAACTTGATTCTATATTGCTTCAATTGGGTATACATAGGTTGGCTTTTGATAAGTATGTAGACAACAGCCTGCCCTCCTGAAGGAGTTGGGCTTTTTAGAATCTAGTGATAAGTAAGTCCATGTTAGCATTATTCAGATTACCAGTTTTGTGTCTTTACTGTATGGGGAAAATAGCCTCTGGCTTGTGGATGTCAAAAGATAAGCACATTTTAATGTTACAAAATGTAGAAGTCTAAATTCAGTAGGCATTGCCCAAGAAAAAAGGGGAATCCAGGACAGAATTAACTGTAAAGATTGAACTTTTATCGTAGTTGGTTAGATGAAAACTTAACTAGTCTGACTTTTGCTTTAGGCTCTAAATTTGGGCACTTGATTCTGTTTATGAATGTTTTGTTGCTATAATTTTATTGTTATACTAGAATTTCTTTCTCTTTTGAGACAATCTTTAGCAATTGAAATTTTTTGAGTCTAGCAGGAAATTTGAGAATGTTGAACAACTATTTGTGGGAATGTAAAATGGTACAGTGACTAACAGAAAATAGTTTGAAAGTTGCTTATGAAGTTAATGAGCTACCATATGACCCAGCAAACCTACTGATGGGTATTTCATTCAAGTAAAATGAAAACTTATGCTTGTATTCAATTGTTTAGTACATAAAATGTACTAAACTGGACTGTTTTCTTACAGATTTCTTACAGACCTCCAACAGAAGGGTAGAATATGGCCTCCTCAAGCTCAATCTGTGCTTTGAACACCAGAGTAGGCCTCTTTCAAGGGCTTGTTAAGGAAGTCCCCACCTCATGTACATCAAAGATCAGACAGTTGCAGCCACAGTCATTATATTTTGAGCCCTTTCTATGTGCTTCATGTTTTATATGACACATTAGCCAGGACTGTTGAGTTGTAAATAATGGGATCCAACCTGAGCTACATTATTTCCCTAGGGACATTTGTTACACAGATAATTCTGTGTTTTATGGAACCCAAGGAGTGACCCTAGGAAGGGACTGGAAACAGGAACCAGATGTCAGAAGCAGAGGCAGCACTCTCTTTTCTTTCTCTGATGCTCTGGCCATGTAGGGGGTAGAATGTGTACACACCACTGCTCTGGAGATTTATATCTCTTCTGTTGATGTTAAAGCCCAGATAGGCAATGAACTTGCTCATTCCTGATTCCAAGCTCCCTGGAGGGCATCGTAAATTAGCCCAGCTTGGGTCAGGTAGCCACCTTTGGTCCAGCTGGGCAGTAGTGGGGCTGTATCACACAAAATCAGGGCTGCTGGGGAGCCCACCCCAGGTGTGTAAGACCCCAAACAAGGTCTTAAGAGCTAGGCAGATATCCTGCCGAGGTGTTTATATTAATCTCCTTTTAATTCACATGATAACTGATGAGGCAGATATAATTTCCTCATTTTGTAGATGAGTAAACTGAGGCTGAGAAAGGTTAAGAAACCTGCCTGAAGTCACACATCTAACAAATGGTGGAGCCAAGATATGAATCTGGGAATGCCTCATGCTTCTAAGAAATATATTCTTATTTTATTCTCTTATAATTTACCTTGAGCTACTTGGCTTGCTTTCTTTTTAAAGGGTATAAAATATAAATGATAGCTTAATGAATTTTCACAAAACAACTACTCATGTAACCACCAGAAAAAGAAATAGAATAATGTTGGAAGCTCCCTAACCCCTGTGTCCTTCCCAATCTCTGTCCTCTCACTCCCTATCAAAGTTAACCACTATCCTAATTTTTATGGAATTTACTTTCTTGCTTTTCATTTTATATCACGTAAGCATGTATCCTTAAACATTATGTTTTGATTCTTTTCCTAATATTCTGTTTTTAGAATTCATTTATGTTGTGTGCAATTGTAGTTTGTTCAATTTTTTAAAAAATATTGTATTTATTTATTTGACAGAGAGAGACACAGCAAGAGAGGGAACACAAGCAGGGGGAGTGGGAGAGGGAGAAGCAGGCTTCCCGCTGAGCAGGGAGCCCGATACGGGGCTGGAGCCCGATACGGGGCTCCATCCCAGGACCCTGGGATCATGACCTGAGCCAAAGGCAGACGCTTAACGACTGAGCCACCCAGGTGCCCCTGTTCAATTGTTTTGAGTTTTTAAAAATTGCAGTATAATTTATTTATAGTAAAATCACCCTTTTTAGTATATAGTTCTG